CCCAGTTGGTCCTGATCACTGCTTTGTCCAGTTTGGTGATGACGTCCTCCTTCACTCCAGAGAGCTGAAACACACAGTCGTACCTGCTCCAGTCTTCAGGTTTCACTGATGAAATGTCCAGATCAACACTCATCTGGAAGGTCCCGTCGTTGTTGGGGAGGATCTCTCCGTGGTCCACGTCCTCATGAAGCTCCTCTCCATCTTTCCTCCAGAACATGTCGACTCTGTTTGGGTAGAAACCTGTAGCAGGGCAGCTGACTGGAGAGGAGGGGGTCTTCTGGAGGAGAGACACTGAGGGGAGGACTGGAGGGAGGGAGAAGGTGGGAAAGAAACATTTGGGGCAGCTGTGACTCAGGAGGTGGAGTAGTTCGTCTCTTGACCGCAAGATTAGCAGTTCGATTCCCAGCTTGTCGAATCCACATGTCAAAGTGTCCTTGAGCAAAACACTGAAACCCCAGTTGCTCATGGTGATGTCACCAGTCCGTGAATTTATGAGTGTGAATAGGCAAACAGCGTGACAGTACTTTGAGTGTGCTGCAATGCATAGAAAAGCGCTACACAAGTATAAGACTATTTACATTTGAGGCAATTAAAGATGTGCATTAGCTGAAAAACATCACAGATCATTCACAGTCATATTATTCCTTAGGAGTGTTTCAAGAGACATTTGGGCCATTTAAAGATGTGCATTAGCTAAAGAACATCACAGATCATGCACAGTGAACATAAAACCAAGTCTGTAAGAGTCAGCAGCCATGCTGGCAGCTCTGAGGCTGCACAGAGGAACAGCAGAGCTTTAAGTCCGAGAGCATGGTAACGTGAATATTTGTTGATTAGTACTAAACATAAAGCTGATGGGAAGGCTGTTACTTTTGCAGGACTTTACTCACAAATGCACAGTAACATGAATATTTGTTGATTAGTACTAAACGTAAAGCTGATGGGAAGGCTGTTACTTTTGCAGGACTTTACTCACAAACCAAAGTATTGGATAAATTCCGACCTGATGGTGTTAGATGAAAAGTCAGGAGATCAAAGTTGTTAAAATTCATCTGTGGGGAGAGTAAATGTGTACCATCTAATAGTTCCAGACATTTCTCTCACAAACTAAAAGGTCAGCCTGCTGCTAGGTCAGGGGGTCAGAATCATTTAACTACATCAGGGAATTTTTGTCAGAACCTAATGAGCAGTACACCCTGTGCCTCCCTTAACCATCACCCAGCAGAACCTCCCAGGTCGACACAGACCGTTCAGTTTTGCTTTTCCGTTGTGTAGGTCTGTGCTTAGAGGAGGGAGGGGCTGTGCTCCACACACACACACACACACGCACACAGCTGAGCAGAGGCAGAGCACAGGACATGAAGCAACACTCCAACTCTCTTTATCTGCAAAATTTGGTGCCAAATGATTAAAAATATTGAGACATTCCACTGAATAACTGAAAAGTTTGACTAGCTGGTGACCGGACAGGAAAAGTCAGAGGAACACCGACGTCACTAACATTGATCTTCTGCTGAGCCTAAATATCTGGAACAAATCCATCAGGTTGAGGTTTTGCTGCCTGGACCAACGTTCTCTCTTGTCTAAGTCAGAGGAACACCGACGTCACTAACAATGATCTTCTGCTGAGCCTAAATGTCTGGAACAAAGGTTGAGGTTTTGCTGCCTGGACCAACGTTCTCTCTTGTCTAATGCAGTGTCAGTACTGACTGAAAGTAATGTCAGAGCACTCAGAAATGTCAGTATCCAGCTAATAACTTGAGTCTTAGTGCCACAAAAATCTTAGTGCCACAAAAACAGCTAAAAAGAAAGTAATATCAGATCTACTGGAGTCATAGTACAATGGTGATTCAGTCTGAACAGGTCATATGAACATTGTGTCCATGAAAAATTGTGACTGTACCTGTTCTCAGTAGAGAGCTTTTCCCATAGTCAACATACATCTTCAGCCATATAGGGTAAATCCCAGTGAGGTACATCTTATAGAGTTTTATGCGATTTTTGTCAGCTTCCCATTTCAGTTTGGTGATGACAGCCTGATATTTGGAAGTGATCCATATCTGCGTCTTCGGATCAAATGCTAAGAAGTCTTCTCCATTATAACGTCTGCATCTTCAGATCAAATGCTAGGAAGTCTTCTCCATTATAACCATACTGATTAAAACCACTAATCTCTCCAGTCTCTTCATCCCATTCACAGCCAACCATCCTCTGTAAAACATGGACATCTGAGAGAGAGAGAGAGAGAGGGAGGCAACAGAGACTGCAGTTAACCATGATGTTTAGATACTGATGGTGATGATTGTCTTGCATTCTCTACACATCAAACTATTATATAAACATAATAAAGGCAAAACGTTAGAAAACAACAATGGTGGGACACCTGCAACCTTGGATGCAGTCCTAGGTTCCAGTGACCCTATCCAGGATTTCACAGAATCATAATTATTGCATTGTGTTTGATTAGACCAGTAGCTAATAGGTTGTTAAAATTATAAACGACTACATTCAAAATTTAAAAAATTGCTGTTTGGCGCACCGGAACGAGAGGAAGCGCCAAAATAGACTTGGAGGTGAGATTTGTGCTTTATTTGCAGCGCTTTCAAACATTGTGGTCTATTTTTTAAGATCAGAGACTTTAAGGGTGACATTTTACAGAAATGTTTTACTGGAATGATTTAGATTTTATTATTCGGCTTTTGCACAATAACCTTTTTTCTGTAAGCAGCAAATGTTGTGTGGTCACTGGTGACTATTGGTCAGAGGTTGCATACATTATTATTATTTTACAGATAGTGTTACGATTTAGCTTCGCTTCCTGTATTTGTTTTTGCATCGTCTCTCCCACTGTTCTGCCACCTTAATGAGCCATCATGCCATTCACCTGCCGCTCATTATCTCCTGGTCCTACCTCATACATATACACCCTGTTTTCCACTCGTTCGCTGCTGGTTCCTTGGCAATTACAGGTACTGACGTGTTCACCCTGATCTTCACCCTGTTCCTGCCGTTTCTACAGAATTTCTGTGCTGTTTATGCCGACGCGCTCCGAGTTTCCTCCCCTGCGATTGTACGTTCCCCGGTTTCTTTTCTACATTATATTACCAAAAGTATTCACTCACCCATCCAAATCATTGAATTCAGGTGTTCCAATCACTTCCATGGTTACAGGTATATAGTCAAGCACCTAGGCATGCAAACCACTTCTACAAACATTTATGAAAGAATGGGTCGCTCTCAGGAGCTCAGTGAACTCCAGAATGGTACCGTGATAGGGTGACACCAAAAAGTCCAGTCGTGAAATTTCGTTGCTACTAAATATTCCACAGTCAACTGTTAGTGGTATTATAACAAAGTGGAAGCGATTGGGAATGACAGCAACTCAGCCACGAAGTGGTAGGCCATGTAAAATCACAGAGCAGGGTCAGCGGATGCTGAGACACATAGTGCACAGAGGTTGCCAACTTTCTACAGAGTCAATAGCTACAGGCCTCCAAACTTCATGTGGCCTTCAGATTAGCTCAAGAACAGTGTGTAGAGAGCTTCATGGAATGGGGTTCCATGGTCGAGCAGCTGCATCCAAGCCTTATATCACCAAGTGCAATGCAAAGCGTCGGATGCAGTGATGTAAAGCACAAGACGTGTTCTTTGGAGTGACGAATCATGCTTCTCTGTCTGGTAGTCCGATGGACGAGTCTGGGTTTGGTGGTTGCCAGGAGAATGGTACTTGTCTGACTGCATTGTGCCAAGTGTAAAGTTTAGTGGAGGGGGGATTATGATGTGGGGTTGTTTTTCAGGAGCTGGGCTTGGCCCCTTAGTTCCAGTGAAGGGAACTCTTAATGCCTCAGCATACCAAGACATTTT